GTGTAAAGCAGCTAATATCTCCAACCAAACTGTCGAAAATTGTGCTGCATTGTGGGTAATGTAGGCATTTTTTACAAGGAAGACGAAAGTGGAAAAATAAAAAAAGACAACATTTCTGGTTCTGCTGCATCGATTTTTGAAAAGTGACTCCCACAATGTTATAGGAGTGCTGGAGTGTAGAGAAGGCTATTCTTGTGATCATATTGTCTTATTTGAGGAGTATACACAGTACAAAATAATAGTACAAATATCACCAACTGAACTAGATAACAAGAGCACCGAATGTAAGATTAAGCAAAATAAATGAAAGCTGCCACAAGGACAATGTAGCAGAGATAACTAATTACAATCTGTCTGCAGTGTGGACGCTATGGAAATTTAGGAAGAGGCCAAGAATGAGCTGGATAAGACCTGTACAGTATGTCGGCTATGTCATGTCAATAGAGGCGATGCAACCAACATGAATATCATCCTGGTGCTGTTGATTCCAAACAGAACCCTTGAGCAACTGTCAAAGACTTCAATGATTTGTTTTGCATTAGTTTGTAGGAATAACTTGTCAAACTGTGAGTTGGAAATGTTTTAAGTGACCTCAACCTCAAATCTGTTAATGTTGCTGCTCCAAAAGAAGAGAATCAAAACACCGAACCAAGAGCTGCAGGTTACTCAAGGTTCAAATGTTCAGTGCATTAGAAATATGTATTTTTTGTAAGCTGTGGTACTGTTACAAAATGTTGCAGTAGACTGAGATGTGTTTTGAATAGTTAGTGTGACCTCATTGATATAGACGGGTTGGTTTGGGAAAACACCCATAAAATGTACAATATGGGTACGGATTCATTAAAGCTGTTATTTTGGCCCATACCCCAAATGATGTTCCTTTTTTAATTTAGCCTGAACTAAAGCAGATCATTGTCATATTAAACTATAATTTTTCACCAAAATTCTGTTTAGTAAACCATCATATTGTTACAAAAGCCTACTGTCTAATACGAGCTCAATTTGGCAATGGATTAAGTAGAGTTTTTTCTAACTATTTTTCCAGGAGGGTAATTGGAAGACAGTAGATCAGACAAACATCAATCTGTGTCACGTCGACCTCAGAGGGATACTCACCAATTTCTCATCAACAGTAATAAGTTGCGTGTCTTGTCCCGGTTTCCCTGCCAGCCTTGATGTTGATGTGCTTGCAGACCTGAAAGCCATTAGATAGACATTACACGCCAAGCACAGACTGCCAAAGGTGGACAAGAAACAAAGCAGTAAATTACACAAACAAATTGCACTCTGCAATCCCTGAGTATCTTGGGAGGCAGCGGCGGGACGAGGATACGGTGAACATAAGAGACAAGGAGGGAATCCCCCCCGCCACCTATTACTTCTGTCTGGTGAGTCTCTGGCAGACTGTCGCTCTCATCCTAATGACAGGACGTGCTTAATGTTGGCTGTGGTCAACTGTCAGGCGAGGACTGTGTGGCTCTTTGTGAATGTTCATTCGTGTCCCGTCACTAAACGGCCATCATGGCTCATTTTTACATCAGCAATTTGCCCCCACAATTATCTCATATTTGAATTTAAATATAAAGAAGAAAATGAAGGCGACCATTGTGACCCTGGTTTCTGGTGTGAAAATTCTACATAGATGCATTTGTTTTATTTTTTATTATATATTCGGCTCCGTTGAATGAATCTTTGTTTTCTGTACTCACTGACAGAAAAATGTTTAGTAAATACAACTGTATCTGATGACCAAAATGTACAATCATTTCTTGCTGAAACAATTTATTCATCAACTGATTAATGAATAGATTGAAAGGACTAGATTCCACTTCTGATGACTGATCATTAGTTTTAGTTCCATTTAAATTCTAGAAAAAATGCCAAATGTTTGTTGGTTTGAGATTTTTAAAGGAGTGGTTATCTACAACTTCATGCTATTATGAATTAAATGCTTAGAGATTTTGACTGCCGATCAGATCAAATGCATCAGTTTACAAGGCTATTTATTATATTTGACAAGGCAACCGTTTACTAAAAGAATTGATTGTTCAATTAATAATGAAAATTGTTTGTTTTATTACTTCATGGTCAACAGTTTGTCAAACTATTTGTTCACCTATTGATTTTCCTTTTCCCTTACTTCGCCAAAGACAGTCTTAAAAGCCAACCTTATTAGCCAACAAACTGTCATATAAAATATCAATTTCTTAACACTGCTATATTTATGGGCTCACATTTATAGTGACCTCATCGCACGATGTTGCTAATGTCTAAATATAAAAGCTGAGGAGGCCTTGTCGTGTGTAAAGAGTTTGTCTCACATTGTTCAATTCTGTAAGGCAAAACAAAACCAGCAAGTAAACAAAACCTTTCCTCACTTCATAGATGCCTTTCTGCACCATGCACTGGATCACACACCTTAGTAAAGTAAGAACTGCCTGTCTTAATGGTCACTATTTCAGGAACCTGTCTACCTGACAAAGGGCCACTTTGTGCTTGAAATTTTTTTTTTTTTTTTTTTAAAAAGGGACCAACAGTGGCAGGCAGGCTCTATATCTATGAAGGTTTATGTTAGCTGACACCAACTGATGTCTGCCAGGCCAAAAGCTGAGTTAAAGCTAAGAAACGCTGACAAAATAAAATATTGTCATATTCTTAAGTCAGTACCTCAATAAAATATAATATTGGGGCTAATATTATGTTTAGCCCTTACTGCCAGGAAAACACTACATTGGGGTATCAGAGTAATTATTTCTCTGTCAGAGAGTATATACTATACTGTCAAATCATTGTGTCAAAAGATATAAGTTGTGTGTCCCAAGGCCATGACAACCCAACATAGCGCACATTCCTATTTTGTATCTATTAAAGTATAAAATCAAGTATAGATATCTTGTTACCAACTCATTTACCGCAGCAGATATCTGGATAGATTAGAAAAGATTAGATGAGACTTATTTTTATTACTGTGGGTGAATGTTTTAGAGCAGCACAGGACACATTTGTGCTAGAAAGAAAAGGCATAAAGTAACATTACAGATGTAACTTTAAGAGATATAACGGCATTACCATTTGAGCAATAGTTTAGTTCACAAAATAGTAAGTGTACTTTGCTTACTATGAATAACATAGAAAAGAAGAGAATATGACCAGTGAAGTTATATCTTATATAAGACTAACTGTAACCCACAGTGCAGAGGCGTATCTGTTACTACAATAAATACATTGAGTCTAAACATAAAACTCGTAGACTGACGTCTTCTTTTGACGGTAGCTGTTAGCTTCCTTGCCACAATCACTGAGCTTGACTGTAGGTTAGCTGTTAGGTTGGAGTTAGCTGTGACTTAACTAGTCAGAAAGTGACCTTTCCGGTGAGCTCTGTCATAAAGTAAAGTCCCCGTCTCGCCGAATGTTGGTCATGGTAAAGTTTTGCAGCACACATATGGTGCAGTGAGCAGCGTTGAATTGCGTTAGGTCTTAAACTGATTTCTAACAAGACCAGCTGAACCTAGCATTAGCTCATTAGCTGGCTAGCCAAGGGCTGTAAGGACACGGGGATAACATCGAGATCAGGAAACAGACAATCACTTTAAAGACTTAATATGCAAGCAAGGACTTAGCTAAGTGTGTAAACTCACATATTGAGCCCAATAAAGAGCGACACCCTCTAACATGATGTATTTAAGTACTTTAACGCTGGCTAGCTTATAATCACTTACTAGCCTGTGACCTGCCACACACACGGCCTGCTTGCTTCGTCTTTAGTCGACATGTTTCAAACAAAATGACTCACAGTAACACGCCCGAATACAAAGTTAATAAATAATTCAAATGGAATTACCTGATAGGATTCAGGGCCAATTTATACGCTGCATTGACCACAGATAAACGTCCCAAGCCGAGAAGTGACATTGAGGACGCCATGATTGTTGTCAACAATGACGTACGGAGACCGCGAAGGAACAAACCGTGCGAGCGGGTGGAGGAGACAACTGGCTGAGAGGTGGAGGACTGGTGCCAGCAGCTAAGATTACTTTACATGGATGCCTTACATGCTGCGAGACATGTCCAGACATATCTACCGTCTATTTACGCCGTGGATGTTTGTTTCATAGCACAAATAACGACGAGGATGCTGTTAATGGAAAGAAACAGCACATCCAGAGGGATTAACCTTTGCTTTATAGGCTACTAGAAGCATATTCCCTTCCTTTTATTCTTAACCTCAGTGTTTTTGCTTAATAATCAATCAGACTGTGGTTCAAATATGACTCATGGGTTTTTAAAAATGGTTGATCTTTTTTTAGGAATATGAGCTTTCCCATATTGTTATGCTTCATCAAATGGTTTTAATGAGTTTAATTTATTATAAGGGTTCTTCCACCTGATTTTGTAACTGGTGTATGGATTTTAAGATATATATTCACAGTTTATGGAGTGATTCTAGGGCCATTATTAACTGTATTAAACATTCTACTGTTGGCCTACAACATATACAGGTAATTGTGTATTTAGGATTCAGAGCTTTATTGGAACATACTGTGTTAGAGGTGGCAATATGGGTACAATCCTGTATCAGGGCCAAAGTAATTTTCTGTAACAATAATGATATATATCATTAAGTTTCTGGCATGTCAGTTCTGAAACTGTTCATGGATAAAACCAAAGAATTGAGAGCAGTGTTTGTTTTTGGCTCATCCAAATGAATTCAATATATTATCATATTGATGCAAAAATCGTATAAAAACCAATGCCCACAATCGCCTAATAAACCCAGATATATAAAAGGATTGATTAAATATAAAATATATTTTTAACAATTTTCATGGTAGATAAATGTATCTCATCTCACCGTATACGGCATATAATCACTTTGCTCAACCCTACAGTATACTGCATGTAGGTCTAAACATGTGATTTAGGTCCCCTTTGAATTAAACACATTCATCACAAGTTTCATGTTATTCATAAAGGAATAATACAGCAGAGTCAGAAGAAAGTATAAGGAAATTTTTTTTTATTGTTTCACTCTTCATATCTGTACAAATACCATCAAACTTTGTATGTACATATGACATTTACATAAAAAATACAAAACTATATATTCATAACAGAATTTTGTATTTCTCTTGTGATGTTTGAAAATAAAAATGCAAAGAAACAAAGTGATGACGTCCGATATAGCGAAAGAGTACTGCAGTACGTTAGTCCTGTTTTAGCTCTGCGAGAGCAAATTGGAGCACATTGGCAAGAAGACAGCACACAAATGTTAATGGCACATTGTTTCCAAAATAATCAAGTATTGTCCAAAACTTACCTCTGCTCTAATGTGGTCAGACAAAATAAATGCTATTGAAAATAATGTCTTAAGTCATCGTCTCCATGTGGAAACAAATCTAAAGGGCTAAAACTAAGAAGTAATCAAAGAAATAAGAAAAGAAATACAAATGGCTCATTTTTTTTTCTCTTCCATTTCCTCACTGCTGTGTTGCAACCTTTACAATGCTCTTTTTGCGAAAACCATTGAGATAATCCCTTTGGTCAGTTCTTATGAGTTGTAAACAAACCAGAAACACTTCTGTACATAAAATGATTGATATATTCCCAATAAATAAACACACAGCCTAAACATGCATTTACGTATGTGTGACATAAACATCTGTGATAGAGATTTGACAGGAACAAGCAGATTTTTTACAGCTTCAGGGAATGCAATTTACAGCTTGTAGAGGACCTATACTTATACGGTAACATGACAAATAAATAACACTGCTTCTCTTTGGACAAATATATTTCTTCATGATTAAAAAAAAAGAGAAAGGAAAGTAAAAAGGGACAACAACAAATAGGGGGAAATGAGTGGTAACACAATATATCATGGTAGATAGTAAGCCTGACATTGTAAATGTATAAATTATAAAACACACACAAAGTATAAATAAACATCTAGCAGACTGAACTATATGTATACTTCCTTTTTCTTTAAAAAATAAATAAGCATACACATAATGTACAGTATGGACATGATTCCTTGCCCTAGGACTGTTCCCCTAGTGACGGGGGCCTATCCATCCGGTATAGAAGATATATGGACATAGGCCATGTAGTCTGAGTCCTCATCATCCTCATCCTCCTCCTGGTCTTCTGTAATGGCTATATGGGAGAATATATGGTAGCTGTTGTATGAATATGGACCACGACAGCGCAGAATATCACTGAATGTTATTTTGTTTTCTATCACAGCAAAGCCATTGGCATACAGCTTCCCTTTTGTTTCTTTATATATGTGTGTGTGTGTATATGTTTGTGTTTTTCTCTCTCTGTGTGTGAGGAAGGGTCTCTGTGTGACTAGGCATCAACAAATACTGTGGCATCCTCAATCATAAAGCTTCCACTTATATGATGTAGCAAGTCAGGGCTGCAACAAGAGAAGAAATTGGGGCGATGGAAAAGAAGGGTGTAAGGGAGGCTTTGGAGGGGAGGGGGGGTTTAGGGAGTCACAAGGTGGGTTTCGGGGGCACCGGATGGGTTCCAGTGGCTCGGGTCTCTTTTGGGCATGATTCCCTGAAAGCAGACACACACACGTGACACAAAAGAAAAAGGTGCTCTTGTGTTCTTGTATTTGCTAGTTTTTCTTTGCTCCGATGGTTATTTTCTGGCTCAAATGTACAGGGAGGGAGGACTCTGTGTCACAGCCTGGCCTTAGCAAGCAGGTCAGAGATCCGCAACACAGTTCTGAGGTATTTTCTTTTCTTTTTACAGAAGAAATTTACATCGGACACAAACAAAAGTAGGAAAAAAAAGCACAAAAGCGAGAGCAAATGACAATACGAAAAAAAAGAAGAAAAAAAACAGGCAGTCCCTCATCAATCCAAATAGATTTGTCATTTCTGATACATTTTCTGGTAGACAATACATTCACTGGAAACAGCACGCACAATAAAAAGTTAGCAGGTGAGTGTCTTTTTCTAATGATGAGATGAGAAGCAGAGTGTGGTTCTACGAGCTTATCCTGTAAAAGCATTACATTTGTATTTAGCTCATGAGGTGATCATAAAGTTGGTCCCTTGGATTCCGTTGCATGCCTTAGGCACATCACATTAAGGTACTCAGTCGGGGAGAGAGAGAGAGAGGAAACTAACAAGGGGACACTCTTCTACACAGCAACTCGGAATGTAAAATGTCCATGCTCCTTTGAGGCTATTGCTTGATTTCTGATGGTTTGGTCCCCAGAACGGCTCTGGTTCTACGGTCGACTTAAGTTCAAATCCTTCGTCTTCGTCGCTAACATGGCACCAATGTTACAATCACCTTATGCACATCGTATGAGTATTGTCAAAAGTGGTCTGTTCTTACTGACATGTTGGCAGTGTGGTGAATGTCTCAAGAGGCAGTGCATTTTGAATTGATTGATTACAGCCGAAAGCAACAAAAAGGAAAAAAATGATAATAATGATACAAAAACACAAATACACCATTACCCATGAGATTAGCAAATGCAACCATGGAATTTACAAGCTGTAAAGATATGACCACTATCATAAAAATGAATAAAAAATTATATTTAAAAGTGCATGAGATTGCAGGTTGGCCTACTATCTCATGCACTTTTAAATATCAGGATTGTTCCACTGCAAACAAAATCAGTCTCCTTTATTATTTGCGTTGATGGAGTTAGCTTTTCCCAAGACTCTTAGTCTTGAGTCTGCCGATATATAGTTATGCTTTTTTCATTTACTTTTCTGTTGTTTTGTTTTGCAGAAGAATTGGAAAAAAAGAAGTAAAATCTAAAAAAACAACAACAAGAACACAAGAACAAAAGCTAGCGACAAAGACAACGTCATGCAAGTTCTTCTCTTCTCAAGTCCTTTTCTGCTTGCTTAAGCTGTGCTTGGTGAGGCTGGGGTGGGATTTTTGGGGGGGGGGAAGTTTGGAGGAGTGGGAGGGGTGGGAGGGGGGTGGGTAGGGGCACTCTCAGTGGAGGTTTGTTTTGATGGGGAAGCAACATGGAATATTGTCTTTTTGCTTGGAGGGAGGAGGGCAGGGTTTTTTTTTTCGTGTGTTCATTTTCTTTCATATTTTTTTTGCTTTTGTTATCTACTTACAGTTGCAAGATCCTGAGTGCTTGACCTCCAGCAGCACCCCCATAGAGCAAGCGGCCTGCTTCATGGCACACTCGCTGGGATACGTGGTGTTGTCGCTGGCGCACACTGCCTCGTCCGTCCTGCTCTCCGGACAGGTCTCGTCGCACAGCGAGCAGCGTCCCCGGCTCATCCGAGCGTCCCACAGACACTTCTTGCCTGCACTGCACTGGATGTCCTCACACGACTTGGCCTCTAGAGCGAGAGAGACAGAGACAGGGAGAGAGAGAGAGAACGAGAGACAGAGAGAGAGAGAGAGAGAGAGAGAGAGGAAGGGGGAAATCTTTGATTAGATGGATTATCATGAAAGCAGGATCAGATGACAGCTGAGTTTTTTGGACAGCTAAACTCGGAATAAAAAACAAATCATGGTGTTGGTGGGGGGGGGGGGGGGCATAAAGTTATGATTTAGTTTGCATTCAAGGCTGCTTTCTGGATAAGAATCCATCTGACTCAAATATTAACTTGAAGCATGTCTTCCTGGCCCCCAGCACTTCCCTGTTTTGCTCTCCCTTTCTCCCTCCCCCCTCTACTTCCCTCTCTCCCATATGGGATAGTGCTGCCAACATCAGGAAATAATAAGATGTCTATCATTTCTTGAGCAAACACAAGCAACTACCAAACTCTCTCTCTCTCGCTCTCTCTCTCTCTCTCTCTCTCTCTCTCTCTCTCTAAGACCCCCCTCCTCAGTGGAATGTTGGCACACACAAAAAAAAACGAAAAACAACGTTCAAAGTCAGTGGCTGGAGGCGCGCTCCCGAACGCCTCGCACTCTCGCGTTCCCATGTTGCGGACTTACTGATGCATTTCCCCTCGTACGCCACTCCGATAGATCTGCCGAGGAGACAGGTCGCTCGTCTCAGGTGACACGCGCTGGCGTAGACGATCCCGTCGTTTCCGCACAAGTACTGCTCGGGTGATGTCACCTCAGGGCAAATCCGATTACACGTCACGCAGTACGCGTTGTTCGTCTGGTCCACGACGCACGTGGAGCTGCCGGGGCACAAGACGTCGCGGCACGTTTCTGTCCAGACAAAAAAAAAGAAGTTTAGACGTGACACAAAGTATAAAAAGTGCTGAGAGATTGCACATAACATGTACTTACTCTTGCACTTTCCCTGGTACTGCACGTCCAGGTCGGGGTGGCCTTTGCATTTCGCTTTGAGCAGTGCGCATTCATCTTTGTAGGTCTTTCCGTCTGCGCCGCAGACCGGTCCTTTCCAGGTGATGTTGGTGCAGTCCGGTGCGCACACGCAGCGGGGCTTGCTCCTTCTGTTCATCTTGCACCTCTTCCCGGGTCCGCAGTCAACATTATCGCAGGTTTCTAAAAAAAAAAGAAAAAAGTCCGCGTTAGGTGACGCTGGGGAAGATTCATGGCTATGTGCGTAAAGATTACTCTGGCGCATAAAGTGCGGAATCATTTACGCACTTCGGAGCGCGTAAAGATCATCGCTTTTGGGATCTGTTTAACAAAAATGACTTGAGGGTGTTTATTATGAAGATAACGAAGGGAAATGAGTGCACCTCCACCTTTGCAAGGTATGCAATTTGGAGCTCCGCCATTGAAGATCATCCACCTAAAGAGCGTGCTGTTGGGGACGTCCTCTTCGGTCCAGGACGTCCCCAGTCTTCCGCTCCGACAGCACTCCTCCCTGCTCATCCCGGGAATGTAGAGCACCTGGCACCTCCCGTTCTTCCCCTGCTGCAGCCAGCAGTTCCCAGCTGTAAACAGAAAAAACAAGAAAGAAATAAAAACCCGAATGTCGCGCGTCTGAAACCGCCGACCCAGAACGACTAGACACACACGCAGCCCGTATTATCCGAGACCCTCCCTCCCTCCCTTTCGCCCTCCCGGCTGTAGTTTGTCGGATTTTTTTTTCTTCTTTTTTTTCTGCGAGACAGTTAACACTTGCCTTTCCCATCTGTGACAGACAGCCATTACAATGCAACCGCAAACCAAAAAAAAAGTAAGAAGAATCTATGCTGGGGGGCGGGGGGGTTCCTTTATTCCTCGAGCCTCCTTGTTATCAGCGGACAGAAAGTGGAGCGTCTAGACAGCGTTAAATAGCAGCCAATCTCCTTCAGAAAACCACGGTTCTTAGAGCACACCGCCGTCTGCCTCCGAACAATATCCCAGACATGTACCAGACAACGCCTTGCTTATGAACAAACCAGTGTAAAGTTTATTTAAATATTAAAAAATGAAAAAACAGAATAGTTATCCCATTTCTTGTGGTGCAAAAATATCTTTTGATCCAGACAACAGCAGGATGTCTGAACCGACACGGACACACACACACACACACACGCGCGCGCGCATGCCATGAAGTGTTCACGAGCTGGTCTGCTGCTTAAATCAAGGACAGATTTCTATCTATTTTAATTACAAGGTCCCGAACGAAATGCTATGGGTGCAAAAGTCTCCTCTTTTTT